TAATCGAGCGTGCGATTTTGTCCATGGTAGTTTTTGAGCAGGATGGGGCCTCGCTTCGATCACGTCATCATCAGGGCTAAACCATATGTCGGTTAATTCTCGTTCCCAGGTCTTTTTTGGCATAAGCCGCCGACTAAGAAGCACGAACAGTCCTTGGCCGGGTTTTTCAAGGCCCCATTAAGCTAACGCAGGATTAGCGAGAGTTTTGAGCTCAAATTGTAACTTTCTGGTGTGGTTTTCTGTTTATACTGTTTGTCTTTCTGTTTTGAGTTTGAGTAATCTCAATCTACACAAGACAAGCAGTTTAGTGTCAGCGTTAAATGGCTTTTAAACAACCCGCCCGTTGGGATCAGATTGAGTCACGTGTCAACCGCTATTGTGAACAAGGGAAGCTATGAATTGCCTGGACACACATCAAAGGTTTGATATAGAGAAATTTATTTTACTAAAGCAAAAAGTTCGAAATATATTTCTATTTTAGCAATACATATTCAGAAGAGTTGAGTTACTGATCCCAGTAACAGGATAAATTTAGTCAAATGCGTCTTTATACTATGATAAATCCCGATTCAGCATTTTGCAACATGTTCAAACTTTAAACCAGCTCAGCTTACTATAATACGTTAGTTTGGTAACTTACACAGATGGCATCTTTGTTCCAATAGAACTGAAAAAAGACAAGCCGGGGGAGGGGGTGCTCCCTATAACGGACTATGCGGGAAGGCGGCTCCGCCCGAGGTACCTTTTTTAGGCTTCAGGTGTATAAAAGGGTAGGGATTTTATAAGTTGAGGTATGTGAAAGGTTAGGGAAATCTGTCATTTAGTTGTTCAGAAGAGCCTTTCATTAGTATATCTCGAACAGACGCAACTTATGGCTGTATCATTAAATTTATTAAGCACTACATTAAAATGACAAGATGATTTCCCTTTTTGGCGATTTATTCAATAAAACGGGTCTGTTATGAAATCATGAGAAAGGGGTACCTTTTCTGTCAAAATGGTATACAAAAGGGTAAGGGGTTGGACCTTGGGGCAGAGCCTTCCTGTATAAAACTTTGTAGAGTACGCTTCCTCGGCCCCCTCGTCCCCGAAGGTAGGTTTTGTTTCTAATTCGTTTTTTCCTTTTCTGGTGTTGAACATCCGTGCTTCGTTTTGAGTAACTAATGTATTTCTCTGTTGGTATTTTCCTACCTAACGTAGCCATGCTGTAGAAGCTTACAGTTTCCTATGCAGAAAATTGACTTACAATCGTGATATATCCCTACTGATCGAGCTACAAAACTCGCATTTCTTTATCATACAGAGCTAGAAGCAGTACCATTTTCACCTGCCTCTTCGTATTTCCTTTTCACGGATTTAGGATTATACAACGTCTTTAACATTAAAGTACTTCTCCTCCTATTGTGAAGGTAGTCCGCTATGTCCGGGAACTCTGCCTCTTCCTTGTTGGTTGTTAGATCCAGTAGCTTCCGTTTGACTGCAGCCGAGTACTTCCGCTTTCCTTTCTCAGGAAAATTGTTACCCTTCATGTCGCTGTATATGAAGCCTGCAGCGAAGAGTTTATTCTCCAGGGAGAGAAACAATATGGCGACCAGCGCCAGAGAAGCGCCTAGAAAAAACACGCCACTTAACGAGTAAACTGCGAGTCTTTGGTGATGCTCCTCGCTCATGTCTTCGCCGGAAGAGACCCACTTCTTGTACAGCTCACTTGGTCTGTAAATAAAAACAAAATTTAATATAAGTTTGCTTCTACTTAAACAGACACAGACTCAGCTAAAAGGCAGATGTTGGCCAAGACATGATAGACACGTTTGTCATGTGAGCTCAACCATATCTCTAAAAGTTAAGAGTAAACTCTTTCATCGATATCCTTGGTCTACAATCTTGGGTATTTCAGAATTATAATTTTGTGCAAATTACTTCAAATTTGGATTAAACAAACGTCGCTGTTGACACCATGTTGACCCTCTTTCAAACTGCTTGGCGCTCTTGACCAAAGGACTCTAAAAATAATTATAGCTGCTGTAAGAAGTGGCGGGCTGTATTTGCGCGCTACAGTCGTCGAAGCAGCGCCATTAAGCTGACCTATTATTTTCATATGGGAGGTAACGCCTCTACCAAATAAGCCGCTACCACTATAGAACTTCCATCTTCATTCGTCTGTAACAAAAAGGGCTTCTTTTTGATGCAATGGCTATTGCTTTGAAGTTTTTTTTAAAAAAACTGCGCGCTAGTGGCTTGACATTATTTTCAAAATGTTGCGCCGCGTCACTCAAACAAATCTGGCGTCAGGAAGCGCGTACGGACGCTTTGCGGACCTACTCACTTATTCTCAGCCTTCATTCTGTTGATGACCAGGTCGAATTTCGGTTTCCAGGGTGAATTTTTCTTAAAAGCGTAGGAGTATCCACTCTCTGCAAAAGGCGTAGTCGCTCCGACCACCTGTAATCTCGGATACGATGCTGACTTCTGTTTGGCAACTTCGTAATCTATTGACAACACTTCACTGATGAAAATATCCAGCTGCCTACAGGTAAAAAAGAAAAAGCGAACCCAATAAACATTTACAGGGAAAAGTAAAACCCTTTTACATAGTTATACAGTCAAACCTCCACTAACTCTGCAACGGCCACTTTATTTTGTCCCGAAGGACCGTCCATACATTTACTCTTAATTTAACCTCTCTACAACGGCTACTAAGGCACGTCACAACTGCCAAAATAGCCTCTCGACAACAGCTAGTTAATCAACGACCG